TACAGTTGCATCACTGAGGAATGCGAGGCCAAGCTCCTCCTTGACGTGCTCAGATAAAGTAGGGCACAAAATGAGGGCCCAACACAGCAGTCAGTAGGTACCAAAGCAACTTCCTTCCTTTTGAGCACCTGCAGCAGAAACCCGAACGTGCCATTACAGGCAATGTGGATATTTAAACTGGAACTTGTTGGTCCTTAGTGCCACAATCAGGGGAAAAGTTTAACCCATCCCAGGAGCTTAAGCTGGCTGAAAGCATCAGGCCCTACCCTTGAGTGCAAGTTATATCTTTTGTTTCACTGAAAATCTTTTATTTGAAGTAATGCTACACTGAATTGATTCCAAGGCACTAAAGAAACACATGGACTTCGCCATACTGCGCTTATGGGATGCCTACACATCAGCATCACCTGCAACCACAACACTCAGGAAGACAAACCTTAATTAAGAAGCTTCAAGGTGGCTTTTGCTTTGCTTCGTGGTGACGTAGGAGCTCTGTGCAGAATTACGGGTAACATATAACAAATATTTGCTAAGTGTAATCAAACACTGGCAATATACCTAAAAAGAAATCCACAAATAAATGAGGTAAAACTACAAGAGCTTCCTCCCACTATTAGTGATCAGTATTTTCAGCTTACCTTACAGATTTCTTCCTCAAATGACACTGAAGCAGAACCCTCTATACTACCACCTTCAAATGCAAGTACTATAAATAACTATTTGATACAGAAATCCTTTCAACTTGCACGCAAAAGAACCTATTATACCTTTATGAGCTGTATAAATTAGTAATAGCTAAACACACCACTTTTATTAACCTAATAAACCTTTGCCTTAAGAAATTCATAATTCGAACCCTAAAGACAACCACCACCACCACAAGTAAACACTAAGAATACTTTAAAGGTTAAATTTCTACAGTTGTAGCCATCTGACAGGTTTGCAATTTTAAGCCCTTCGGTGCAGAAGAAAGGAAAGAACATTACTCATGATCCTGAAGAAATACTTGCTTCAGGTCCAGAGTCCCAGATTTTCATGTAATGTTATTTAAAAACAAAGCACTTATTAAAGAGCTTCCAAGAAAGCCGCCTCTCGCCTCAAAGCCTACTAAAAACGCAAAGCCACACAAGTTTTACAGCCGGATAATTCTTAAGGAAGTCATTTACGCAAATTCTTAAATATAACATTAACTCAGCATCATATTCACTCCTATAAATTCTAGTGGTGGAAATTGGTATGGAGACACCAGGTGTTCAGAAGTGACCAAGGTGTGTGGATTGAGACAAAGAAGCTGTCTAAAAATTACAAATCCAAGGGTATGTTTGAGGGAATGAAAGGGACTTGGATCTTTCAGGCCGGACTTATGTGGACTCAGGCATCACTCACGAAATACCAGGATGCTCAATAGCAACTAAACGGATCTTACAAATAGATGCACTGCTCTAAATCTAGAGTCTTCCATGTTTTTTCCATCTTCTTTTTATTTCCATCGCTTCTTCCTCCCAGGGATTTTCCGCTGAACTCAGCCCCTACCTGCAAATAAGCTGGAGAGCAGAGCGTGGCCATGACCTGGCTGGTAGGATATTTGCCAAGAGGGAGAGGTGCCTTATTCACCCAGGAACATTCAAAATTTGACTGGAGAAAAAGGTCTGCTCTGAGCAATAGAGACTTCCAGGTCTGCTCTGAGCAATAGAGACCTCCAGAGTTTCCTTCTGACTTGAATTATTATGGATATTATCTGGAATTTTGGAATATGATTCCATAATCCCGAGAAGAAAGAGCCCAAGGCAGCCAGGAGGTGTCTGGGTCATGGCCAAGGAAATGAGCTCTGATGGGAAAGAGACACCTCAAGCTGGGGAGGGCTGCTGTCCAAAATGTGACAAATCACAAATTTGCACCCAGGTCAAAATGTCCTCGGTTGCTTTAACCCACAGGCTCTAAGGGCATCAGCTCCATCTCTCGTGTTTTGGGTGCGAGGCTCGAGACCTCCCATGAGCTTAGCTTGACACCCCTCTGCTTGCTTTTATTTTAGAAGATCTGGAAACGCCTTATTTAACAAGCTTCCCCCCCACCTTACTTATTGAAATAATTTAAAGAGTTGTTTAGTTTTCGGTCTTGTAGAAAATAACAGGAGTTGTTGCCTTCCTCCCTTTGGGCTGAGCTATTAAACTGCCTCCGCTTTATCCCCTCTTCCCAGAGGAATTATTGGCATACCTCTGTGGGAAAAGAGGAAAAAAAAAACCTTGGATTTTTGCCTTCTTCTTTACCTCCTCGCTCCCTGCCAATATTTCCCTTTTCATACTCGCTTCCTCACAATCTTGGGCAAGTTTTTCTAATTAAGCAGAGTAATAAACATTAAAACAGATGCTCAGACCACGGTATGATTAATGTAACCTTGAGGCAAGTTTCACTGAAGAGAAAAAAAAAAAGAAAAAAAAAAGAAACTTTGCCTGTCAATCCTTGCTTCCTCTTCCATGTTTTCTTGTCTGTTTTGTCCTTACAAAACCCCTGTGAACTTATGTCCCACTTATGTCGCCGCGGAGAAGTGAGGGCTTGTGGTGAGGGGAAGGGGGAAAAGAGCAGAAAAGGGGGGATTTGTCCGCTCCCAAAAAAATAAACAGGAGCAGGAAGGAGGAAGAGCTCTACCCTTGTGAGGAGGAGGGACCTGGGCACTGCCTGGCTGTAAAACAGGTGCAAGAGGGGCAGAAAGAAAGAAAGAAAGAAAAAGGAAATGAAAAGGAAAAAGGGAAAAGGAAAGAGAAGAAAAAAAGAGAAGGGATAAGTGGGGGAAAGCTGAGGGGAAAAGGGATCGGTGGGAGGAATGGGCGGGGGGGACGCAGGCAGCTGCTTCCCGAGGAGCAGCGCAG